TACCTCACAAACACAGCACACAAGTTACATTAGTATACATGTACTGTTAATTCTGTCTATGTCATAACACTGACAAAGTCTTACCTCACAAACACAGCACACAAGTTACATTATTGCATTGTTTGTGCTTCTAGTTTAGATTAATACAGAAATGCAAAGGTAATACCTTCAATTGTTAAATACAAATAAAAAAATGATTTCTCTTGAGGTGTTTTATTTTTAAAAAAAACACTATTAAATTACATATTATGTATATTCAATCATTATAATTTAATATCAGTATTTCCTATTAGTCATTTGTAAGCTTGACTACCTGTCTTATAGATTTTTAGTATTTAAATGATAGAGTAAAATATTATAAGAATAACAACCAGAACTAGCCCGGAGTAAAGAATATTGTGGACCTGTTTGGTTACAACAGAATATGTACCTACTTGGTATTCAGAATTAACATCATGTTAGTTCAATACACGTTATGTGCAGGAATTACTATTCATTTTTACTCTAACATTCTCCTCTTTATTAACAGTAGGGTGACATTTAATTTTTTGGTCTGCTACCAATGTATGCCAACATCTTTCATCTCTATTTTTTGTATGTTTTGCCTAACATTAGCTGTACAGAGATAACGACGGCGGTTACCAATCTACAACTCGTAGTGTCTGGTACCAATCTACAACTCGTAGTGTCTGGTACCGATCTACAACTCGTATTGTCTGGTACCAATCTACAACTCGTAGTGTCTGGTACCGATCTACAACTCGTATTGTCTGGTACCAATCTACAACTCGTAGTGTCGGGTACCAATCTACAACTCGTAGTGTCTGGTACCAATCTACAACTCGTAGTGTCCGGTATCTTGTAATCAGGAAGTGTCAACAATATATTTATGTTCCTCAATGGAACATTGCCGAGGTTAAGCGTTCATTGTTTCAGTCACTCTAGTTATATTTGTAATATAAAGCTACCAGGCACTGTCACCTTAAAAAGGAGTAATAACAAAAACATTCTTTAAAACATTAAAAAAAATCAAAACAAAGTGCTTGAGAATAAATGTATGTGCATTAGACAGTGAGTACACAAAAACCACAGACTTTCCACACTGAATCGACATAAACCACATACATTGTGTATTGCATTGTCATTATAATTGTAATGTTTACATTTCTTTACCCTTAAAATACACGACAGATATGTTATGTATCGTATATATACACATTTGTTGAACAGGAGAAATTGACCTTGGTCTAAACTGATCTTCAGTTTAATCTTACCATGACAACTTTGGGGAGGGATTAGCTTATTCGTACATATTTAACATGTATTCTACTTTGGTTCACAATTAGGATAGACACATTTCTTATTTCTATACAAAGTTTAATCATAAATATGAATAGAAAATAGCAGGATTTTTTGGATTGGGGGGGGGGGGGGGG